GGCATTTTTGCTTTCTCGGTGGTTAACTGAAGGAATTTAAATAGGAAGTGAAGGAAAAACAAATGTCAGATGCTCCCCGGTCTGATAGAAATTTCTGAATGGACCATCCTTTGCATTAAGCTTTGTGAAACAGCTACTGGGTGCTTAGGAGCGTTTTCCTAAATTCGTTGAGGTTGTCCAAATACGGATGAATGAAGAGTCATCTGACTCCCCCGCTGGAGTACAGCAAACTCAAGAGAGACGTTACAACCGAGAATTTGTGAATGAAGGTTTTCTGGAAAGCTGTTCACCCAAGTCCGTGACACACAACCAGCAAGAAGGCACTGATTTTTCTTTTGGTCTCTTCCATAGGGATTTCCTGTGTTGTTTTTTTTAAATGTATTTCAACGTGAGATAGGAGTAGGCGTAAGACAGCCAGGTTCGGTTTCACAGGTTGTTTCTTTGTGTTTATCAAAATCAAGGCTGAGTTACCACTCGTTACAGTCAGGGACAAAACCCCCGTGTTCGTGTTTTGGGTAATTGCTTCATTGCGCTAGAAGTGAAGTGGTGGCAGCCCAACTTCAAAGAAGGACGACGATGACACCTATGTGGCTGGTTTGAAGGCGATGCCACGGATGAGCTGGGTTTGTCTCCCTGTTGACTGCAAGGAGGAGCGGGAAGGTTACGGGGAAGGAAAAGAGACATAAAGGTTGACCCGAGGTGTCCCAAGGGCTGCGTATTTTGCTCGGAGCCGGGGAGGATTTACAGCCTTGCTCATATAAGTCATCCTCCCTCCTTGCGGACTGTCAGCAAGCTTTGGACGTGTCAGGTCCTAACTCCTGTAGCCAGGTGCTAAAGAGAAATGCCACGCGGACTCTGCCGATTCATTAATTACTTTAACAGAGTAATTTTTTTTTCCTGACCAGCTTGCAAGCGACTGGGACAGTCCACCCCCTGGGGAAGACGAAATCACTCCCTCGAGCAACCTCCAGTCTTTAGTTCTTTTACCAAGACTTGCTTTGTTAAGCAAAGTTCAGAATTAAAGAGAGCATCCCACCTTGCTCCAGGAGGTCCTCTGATCCCAGCGGTCCTTCCTGCCCAAGTGCCGGGGGACTGGACCTGATGATCTTATAAGGTCCCTTCCAGCCCCTAACAACTACAAATCCCCAACCAGCCTGGTCATCTCATCTCACCCTTGTCTTCACCTGATACTTCTCCCCAGCCAGCCCAGACCTCCCTCCAAGGTCTTCCATCTCGTGCTTGCAAAAGCACCCCTCTCCCTAGCTCTGTCCGTTCCTGTTTCAGAAATGGGAAGCTCTCTATGCCTCTTCCTCTGTAGCTCGTGAGTAGGAGCACATATTTGAGCTTTAGCTATAGGTGAAGGTCTCAAAGGCCAGAAGCAGAAGGTCAAAGACTTGGGACCTTGCCTCAGGGCCTTATAAATGCATTGAATAGCAAAGAAAAAGCGACTCAGTCATATACAACCAAAATTAACCTTTGCATCCAAAGAACATTTATTTCCACTGAAGCTAATGTTCTTCACGTGATGTAACGATGATATTAAGTTTAGGTCACTGCTCTTTTTTTGCAGTTCTCCATCCTGGACAAGACTGTGGTGTGATATTTCCATGGCCGATGACGTCCCCGTTAAATCTCTTTGTAGACTTGCAGGCGCGTTTGAAAGGATTTGAGATTTCTCTTTGGGCTGAGATTTTCTCCTGAGGGTGCCCTGTCCAAAAACTTAGAAAAAGAAACCGCTCCTACTCAAAGAACCTTCTATTTTCAATTAAACAGAAAATAAAAATGTATTGCCACACCTTGAAAAAAATATATAATTAGTGGACGAATAATCAAGCATGGTGTTCAGTTTGGCCAACTGGAAATAAGAGGGGAATTAAAGTATTTTCCAGGAATATAGCCTGCCCCAGGAAATTATTCTTGTCAAAAAAATGCTGCCTTTTGATCTATTCCAAAAACCAACTAATAGTAATAAAGACAGCAGCAGCAAAGCTTTTTCAAAGCAATTAGTAATTTTGGGGGACCCAGTTTCAGAAGGCAGATTTTTCAGAAAGCAACAGCCACTCTGTAAGTATTTTCCTGACTTCTAGGCTAAAAATACACGGGTGTATGCTCATGAGAGCCAGGGACACTGTCTTTTCCTTTCCCTTGAATCGGATGGTGAAATTTTAACAAAGGCTCCCAAGGGACATCGGCGGTACCTCTGTGCTACATGCTAACCCAAGACTGGCAAAATTCGACACAAGCCTGCTGCATCCTTAGCTTTTATCTGAATCGCTGACGTCTAGCGTGTATCCGCGGATGGAACAGGGCTGAAATAAATAATGTGCAGAGTACTGCAGTCTCACACCTAAAAACAGGGTATATGTACATCTTTGCCCATACCCTGACCAGTATAATGTGCCAGTTGGTATCCTTATAAAACATTATGTGCAGTTAAAAAAAAAAAAAAAAAAACCAACCTAAAAACAACCAAGCAATATTGTACTGCTGGAGAAATGCAGAATAGTGCAGGGTTGATATTCTTCTTTTTCTACCTCTTTATTTTCCCTCTCTCGTTTCTCCTGTTTCCCCATAAAATACTCCTGCAATATGTAGAGCATAAGAACCAGTTCTCCAGCAGAGGCTACAGGCGGCTGTAGGATTCTGCATCTCCATTAGGGGCTCTTTCCAGAGGAAGTCATTTTCTTCTCCCTATAAATTATGCATCCGTGTTCATTTAAGATTCTGAAATGACGAACAGAACATAAAGGTGTTGCTAAGCATTGCTGCTCCTATAGAGCCGAATCCCTGGTGCTTTGCACAGACTTGAGCAGACCCGGTTGAGTTGAAACTCTATGCGTTGCTGTTGCAGCGTTTCTGCAGCTCTGAGAAGGGAATCCCTCTGATTTCCTGAACCTTAGCATTTGCATCCGTGTCCTTGTTGCTCTAAGGAGGCAGTGTGATGGGTAAGACAGTGATCTTTGCTCAGGGCAAGCTGGGGGAGCAAGCTGTGATTTGCATAGGGCTTGAAGCTGGCCATCCTCTTGCAAGTGCTAATCCCCGTCTCTTAATTGGACTGCTTCTCCCTTCCCATTACTCTACATGCCCCTGGTCATGTTCCCATGGCCCACAGACGTCTTCTCAGTCTTTCACTTTCCAGACTGCACGAGATGTCCTTAGCTGCCGAGGAAGGATTCCCAGTGTCCTCACACCAAGGGCCAGTAACGTGGGGTCTGAGCTGTACTGGAGTAGAAATGTGAGAGGAGAAGCGTGATTGAGTCAGCCAAATGGAAGTTGAGAGACATGTTCTGGTTTATGAATTAAAATGCCTAATGCATGCAATTTGAATGTCAGGTTTTTGGGTGCTCTTCCAGGACGCCATTAAATATTTGTATGCTCAAAACCCAGATTTAGGGATCACTGTACTTCGCGGGTAGATGCTGTGGATTTTTCGATGTCTGGATATCGATTGATAGGCGTGTATTAATTTGAAACAAAAATGTTCTGTGTTTTTGCATGTGCAATATAGGTGGCATGCATACAATATTGTGGCGTAAAGGGGGGGTGTCCTTGTTTGGGGCTAGAAAATGCTTTTCATTTTCTTTCTGCCTTTCTAATATATACAAGAGGGGGCGGGAGAGTGTGTATAGTAGGTAGGGGATATATGATGTTGCAACGTGTTAAAAAGTTTTATCGTGTGTTGCCTATTTTGATAAAGCTTTTCTGCCAAATCGCACTTTCAGGTTTTGATATGTACTCTAGCTAACTAGAAGTAGCAACATGAAAACGTAAAAGAGAATTTTTGTATTGCTGGTATAGATAAAGAAGCGTATACCATTTTGTAGACAAATGCACACATGCATCTAGATGGTCTGCTTTTTATAAAGTGCATTTATATTTGGGAAGGTGGTGGGGGGAGAGATGTATTTTTTTTAATTGCTTTCAGATCACAAAGAACGAGAGACTGTTTATGAGGCCAGAAATTCAAAATCTAGAATCTAGGGGTTTTTTTAAACTGGACAATTCGCATTTTTTAAATTGACTTGCACTCCCTCATGGAAATCTTAAATATTATAAATTACATTATGAAGACCATGCATAACTTAGATGGAAAAGTTTTTTGGGACAGGAGCTATCCTTCCAGGATTTCTGCAGGGTCAAGGGGAATAACGGTATGTTGATGATGGAGCGGGGAAGGGCTGAAATACTTTGCAGTTGGGTTGAGGGTCTGATTAGATGAATCTCCACTTACAGTATTCTCATTTTGCTGTTAGTAGAAATAAACACATTTGCTGTTGTGCGTTTTAAGGTAACGGCTTAAATCTGTCCAAGTCGTGTTGAAAGCAATGGGAGTCGCATGTTGACATAACTCAGGGAGATTATTTGCCCCGAACAGTTTTGCTTTAAAGAGTTGGTTGTTCAGTCCTAACCAAACTGACCCCACGAGCTGAATTTCCTCTTTGAAGAAAGTAGGTGTCACGTGGTGTCTTTCTTTGTCAAAGTTTCCCTTTGGAGAGAGATTACTTTTTAAAAATGCAACAGCCACCCAAAAGTAACGCATGTATTAAAGCAGGTCATCCCTGCCTTTCATCACGTATCTGGGTGATAGAAGTAATGAATTTTTTATTTTCTGCAGGGCTCACTCTAAATCTGACACAACATTGTGTGGGTGCACATATGTAAAAAGGCGACTAATTGAAATTCAAATGTAATGAGATGAAGCTTTGCTATTCACTGAGCCTGCCTTTGTTTTAGTCCTTGTATGCTCAGTGCTTCTAAACAATGCAACCCTTGCTTCTACTTCTGCATTCAACACGAATAACTTAAAAGGAAAGAAATCTTTCTAGTCCGCTCCAGAAACAAAATCCAGTTTAAAAACCAGAACAATTGTGTCTTCCCCACCCCCCTCCTTTTTTTCTTTGTCCTTTAATCAAGTTAAAAAGATTTTGATGGAATAAAAAAACAATCTTGTGGCAAAATCTGCGCTCTTTTGAACATGCAAATGTGTTTCTATTGCCTAGGTAACTATTATGGAACACCCAAGCCTCCCAGCCAACCCGTCGGTGGGGAAGTGATTACCACTGATGCTTTGCAAAACCTTCAGTCCGGCTCCAAGCAGTCGACTCCAAAACGAACCAAGTCTTACAATGATATGCAAAATGCTGGCATAGTGCATACAGAGAATGAGGATGAGGATGATGTTCCTGAAATGAGCAGTAGCTTTACAGGTAAAGCAAACTTCTTCTCCTCCCTCCAACGAGACACGTGGATTTTATTTCCCCCGCTTTTCTCCACAGACTTCCTGAAAAGATGCCCCTTGGATTGAACCACATTGACTTTTTTCTTTTTTTTGCCCCTTTCCGAAGTCTGTTCTCTGTCTACAATACATTTTTCCCAACTCACAAAATACTTAAAAATTAAGGGGGAACATCTGGATATTTATATATTTTTTCCCCATAATTTTTAAGTATTTTGTGAGTTGGGAAAAGTGCACTGTAGACATTTCTCCCTAGAAAGATCTACTTCTATCTCTTTTTTTTGCGAAATGAACAAACCTTATGATGGTTGCCAGTTGAGAGCATCATCTCGGAAGGCCGTGTGGAATGAAGAAAGGCCAAAGAAACCCAAAAAAACCCACTGCACACTTCCCGGTTTGGTATCTGTCCTAGACGTGATGGTCCAGTTGTGATAGAGCACCCAAAGGGCAGTTGAGCACCCAAGGGAAGACCCTCGCATTAGATGTCCTACCACCTTCTGCACTGGCAAAGATCTAGGGCGCTGGTTTTCCACCTCTTTCAAGACTCAAGGCACCCCTTAATACCATGTCAGTATTTAATGGTGCTCTATTTAAAAATGAATTTATTTTCTGAAGTGCTTACCTTCCACCACCGTGAAAAGTATCTCACGGTGCCACAGGGCAGGCAGGGTGCCCCTGAGAGCCTGGCAGGGCTGGCACATGGTGCTGCTTGGTGGGGCAGATTGGGGAGCTTCGTCCCTTGAAGGAGGCAGTTGTCCCTGAAGGAGGTGGAAGTTGGGGGTGGCAGGAGCCAGGACTCTTTCATGCCTTGCTCTTTCCCCGGTCTGCTCCTGCAGTGACTCCTCCAGGGGCTTGAATGCTGCTTGCCTCTTCTCGTAGGGCCCAGGGACCGCAGCACCCCTGAGAGGAGCTTGCGGCACCCTGGTTGTCAACCCTCGATGTAGGGCAGCGGTTTCCAAACTCTGACATGTTGTGCACCACCAATTTAAAACAATATCAGCAATTTTTGCAGTTCAGCCTTAAGTACCACCAGGAAATTTTTGTCATATAAAGTAACTATAATAAATCTGTTAATGCGTAGCACGGACAGGTTGTCTGTGTACCGCCACAGGTTGGGAACTGCTGAGCTAGGGGTTTTGAGTAAAGATTTTTTTTTTTTTTGCTGCAGAGAACTCTTCAACACTTGTTAAATATTATGTAATATGTTATATCTAATATAGCATGTATTGTATAACATATGTTAGATATTGTATAATGTATGTAATATATAGATATATATATCTATGCACAGCGAGGACAAATACTAGGCATATTATTATACAATGTATTATATTGTGTGTGCATGTATATCGATATATCGATGTCTGCATCTAGATATAGATATACACACACACGATATAATACATCATATAATAATACGCCTAGTATTTGTCCTCGGTGTGCATTATAGAGAGAGGCAGCTGCTAACCTGTCACAATAACGTAATTGCCACCCCCTACCATCTCCACCAAACAGGTGCAAAAGAGCTTCTTTCTGTCCACCACCAACAAAAGACCGTCATGCACTTAGTTCATATCATCCACATCCGGGCTGACCATATTAAAATCCTTCCTATTCTGCGGGAGAGACCGGGCTCTGACTTGTTTGGCATGTTTTTGCTAGCGTGAACCGTGCACCATGCAGATTGCTAGCTTCTTAATCTTGCCAGTCTCTGCTTACAAACAGATAAAAGCTCTTGTGCTGGAGGCAGACAGTAAGGGTGTTGGCAGAGTCTTGAACTTTTTTTTCCTTCCCTGGTTTGGAAAATATTTTTTTTTTGTTTGGTACCACTCACAAAAACAGCCAAACATCCTTGACTTGGGGTGAGCAAGTCAAGAATTTGACTACTGCCACAGATTCCCAGACTTTTTAACAAGCACAACTGCCCTCACCGGACAAAGAAGCACCTAAAACATTTGCAAATGACTTGGGTGCTTTTGAAATGTCCCTGCACCTGGGATTTAGGGGCACAGGCCTGAGGTGTGTGGACAAGTTGCTGTAGTTAAGGATGTGTGAAAAGCCTGCAGAGGTCAAACTCCACCATCGTTTTGGACTGCTGTGGTCCAGGCATCCTCAGAATGATGCTCCTCCTTTGAAGACAAGCAAACACTGGTTCCTCCGGATGCTGAGCACCCTGCACCTCTCCCAGAGTCCAGGCATCCCTGCGGGCAGGCACAATGTGGAACTGACTGACTGGCTAAGCAGCAGCTCTGCAGAAAAGGACCTGGGGTGACAGTGGGCAGTGAGCTGGACATGAGTCAACTGTGTGCCCTTGTTGCAAAAAAGGGTAATGGGATACTGGGCTGCACTGGTAGCATTGCCAGCAGATGGAGGGAAGCGATTCTTCTCTGTTCAACACTAGAGAGGCCACATCTGGAGTCTGGTGTCCAGTTGTGGTCCCCCCCATGACAGAAAGGATGTGGACACATTGGAGAGAGTCCAGTGGAGGGCAACAAAAATGGGGGGTTGGGGGGCATGACTTGTGAGGAGAGGCTGAGGGAACTGGGCTGATTTAGTGGAGAAGAGAAGACTGAAAAGGGATTGAATAGCAGCCTTCATCTCCCTGCAGGGGGGCTGCAAAGAGGATGGAGCTGGACTGGTCTCAGTGGGGGCAGATGACACAAGCAATGGGCTCAAGTTGCAGCAAGGGAAGTTGAGGTTAGATATTAGGAAAACTTTCTCATGAGGAGGGTAGTAAAGCATTGGAACAGGTTACCCAGAGAAGTCATACAGTCTCCACCCTTGGAGGTTTTAAGACCCGAGTAGACAAAGCCTTGGCTGGGATGATGCAGTTGGGGCTGGTCCTGCTTGGAGCAGGGGCTGGACTAGATGCGACCTCCTGAGGTCCCTTCAACCCTCATTTCTGTGAGTCTAAGACTCTGCTATTGACTTTCTGTTGAGCATGCTTAGATACAACGATGATAAGCAGCAGTATAAAACCCTATAGATATACAAGGTGCAGGACAGACAGTGTTATATGTGCTCCTAGCTATGTCCAGCAGAAATTGTCCTGTCCAGTTCTTTTAGAAACAAGAGATCTTATTCTCTGAAGCCCCAGTCCTGCAACCCTCTCAGCAGACCCTCGTACCACGCGCAGTCCCATTGACCTCGGTTCA